GGCGGGGGCGCGCACGGGCGGCGGGGGCGGGAGCGGGAGCGGGAGCGCGCGGCGGCGGCTGAGGGGACGCGGCCCGGCCCCGGCGGCCCTCAGGGAGCGGCGGTGCCCAGGACGTATCCCGGGAGCTGCGAGCGCATCCCGGGGGCTGCGGGCTCTCCCGGGCCGCAGCCAGGCCGCCTCAGCTGCTGCCAGGCCTGTGCCTGTGCGCCAGCCAGGCCCTCGGCCCCGCTCCCGGCGGCCTGAGCCCTCGCTCCCTCCCGTTCTTCAGGGCTGGGGCTGCGTCGCCGCTGGTCCCTGCCCGTGGCACGGGTTTGGTGCGGGTACTGAATCTCACCTGGTTTGTGTGTGTGTGTGTGGCTGCAGAACAGCAGCTGGTGCTGGCGGGTCTCCAAAGCTTCGGTGATGGGGGGGGGGATGTTGGCCTAAAGTTGGGGAGAAGGGGAAAAAAGTGTGTGCTGTGTGGGAGGTTCCTCAGGGTTATTTTGCACATAAGGGAGGTCTTGATGAGTTCTGGAGGCCTTGTCCTGCAGCATGTATTGTTCCTAAAGGTTAATGTGCCACTGTTTGTCTGCTGGGGTAGAGTTGCCTGTTTGGTTAAAGGAGTGGTGGTGGGTACAGAGCACGAAGCATATTTTATTTATGGATTTCAGTGACTTAGGAAATACCCTTGTCTGATGAACTACTTTAAAAGCACTGTTCATATCAGTGATTCATCTTAAGATCTCTTGCAGCATTCGTGTTTTGCAGATGCATAAAGTGACTTCTGTCCATTTTCTTCATGTATTATCTCTTGTAACAAAATCTGGGGGTTATTTATTCTGATGTTTTTAAGGCAGTTTTTCAACATTCATTGGTAGTGCTGTATGCAAACTTGAAAGTGATGGAGTTTGGATGCAGTGATGAGTACCAGAATCCTGAAGCTCCAACAGATCTGGTGGCTTGAGTTACTGAAGGGTTGAGAAGGTGCATTGCTAAACTGAGAGTGTATCTCCTGATCAGTGTGGCAGCAGGAATTGTAGGGCTCAGGTATTCTGTCATCCTTGTTATGAACAAAGTAAGGTGCTGGATGTGAGAAAGACAGCACATGGAAGTTGTGTTGTTATTTATTATCTTGTCAGAGGTGGAGGATTTCAACCAGGGTCGTCTACAGGAAAAGCATTTCTCCACTTGAAATTTAGGACTTGATTACACAATGAAAGTTGTGGTTATTATTTAATACAGGTTTTGTCCTTTGTTGTCTTTTTCAAAGAGGTGGACAACTGATGGAACATTCCACTGGGACGAATAAAACTGTTCTTACAAGATAGTTTGCACAGATTACACTGAGACCCACACGGAGAAATCTCTCAACCAAGAGTGACTGGGAACACTTGGACTCCTGAATGACTGCTTGAGGTAACTCATGGAAAATGTTTATCTGAAGAAGTGGTGTGGAGCAGGGAGGACTCTTATTACACAAGGTTGATAACTTCTTGGGTTGGCACTAGGAAACCCAAGATAATGACAGCTGAATGCTGTGCCCTAAACCAGAGTTGCTTTATTGCCAACGGTCCTTGATGAGTCATGGGTCTGTGGTAGGCAAGTGAGCAGGGGAGGGAAAAACAAGGGAAGAGAAGAAAAGGGGAAGGGAGAGCAGTTGTTTGGTGTCAAGATCTTGCCAGTCAATGGTGAGCAGTTCTCAGGGCAGCAAAGGATGAGGGGGGGGGGGAAAGAGCCACTGAATTTTTACGGGGCAGACACAAATACCAATGATATTCCCAGGCCTATCAAGCGATTTGTAAAAATCTTGCAGGTGGAAAAGTGTGTGGGGGAAATCTGAGACTGCTTAATTTCTTAATAAAGGAAATTTCCTTACATAAAGGAAAGAGGCATGATGCCATCCCTTTCACAGGGACTGGGGTGGTTTGTAGGACAGCAGCTACCAGGAAGAGGGAGAAAGAGTAATAGAAGAAGAGAAGTGTTTAAGTGTAGAGAACTTTATCCCTTGCAGATTTAATGGTGGTTGTAAAGAGTGTTTGAAGGGTGCAGAAGCACAGATGCAAAAGCTTGACAGCTGTATATACCCGTACAATAGAACATAAAGACTCTGTCCTTGAGGGGAGGAACAGAAATTAACTTGTTTTCTAAGGGCTGGTCTGAACTCGATAACTTGGTACCATTTTATCAGTATAACTCAGAAGAACGTTCCTCTCGTGGATGCAATTATAACATTGATATTGTGTGCTCGTACAGATAAGGACTTTGGAGAACAGGACAGTCTGGGTTGATAGCGGTGGCTTTTATCAGCTAAAAAAAGGTGCATACACAGGGCTTTTACCCTTAAAATAACGGCTTTTGTCACCTTTATAAGCAACAGAACTGACAGCTGCTAAGACATCCAGGCTTAGATGTGTTTGAGAGTGGTGCTTCTCTCATGCTACACCATTTACCTTCCCAGGAACTTTTCAGTGGTTACTGATAGTTAATTATAACTTAAACCCCACCGCTTTTTGCATTGCATTTTGTGAGTGAAGCCTTTTCAGCTTTTTACTTTTAAGACTTGATCTAGTGTTTTTCTTTCCCTAAGCTTCTCTGTTTCTGTTTAGGCCTTGGAGGAAAAGCATTAAGACTTTACATTTCACAGTCAGTTCTGTTAAGCAACTATGGAAATAGAAAAGGAGCACATTTATATCACCCCAACAGGTAAGTAATGTATTCAGTATTTTTTCACTTAAAATTGCTTAGCTGACTAGAAGTGTTCTCTGTAGAAAAAATGTATTACCTGGTAATTTTCTAACAGTACTGGTTGAAAAACCCAACAACTCATCAAAAATTTACAGAATAGTTATTTCAGTTTTATATCATAGTACCCTGCTTTATTACATTTATTTAAAAATTTATTAAAATAACAAAGTTAACATTTCTTTAAGTTCCTGAATAATATTGGAACTTGTCTTCTTATCTTCTGAGTTCAAGTAATGCTGGTGTGAAGAAAAGAATAAGCTCAAAAGTAAAATCTGTAGGTGTGTTTGAGAGGTACAAATTCTGCTTTTAAGGAACTATTTACCTCAAAATTAGAGGAGACAAATGATGAAGGGCTTGGCTGGAAGTAGGCTGGCATGGGAAAAATTTAGGAAATATGTGTTAGGGACTGCTCTGAAATTCACTGTTTTGTCCATATCACAGATGTCTCTTACGATGCTTAGTCAAGGTAACGCAGCTTCATGTTGTTTTCTGTGTCTCCAAAGTTTGTGATGGTCTGGACTGACTCTTTTATTCAGAGAGTTTTTGTAGGTTTAAATGTTTTTGAGAAAAAAATGTTGTACGTTAAGATGGTATGTAATGCAGTTGAGGTAGCAACATGCTCCATATGATTTCTTACATTAAAGCAGGGTTAGGCTGATGTAGAAGATACATTGCTTCTCAGCAATTTAGAATTATGTTTGGATAATAAAGGGGAATCTGCTAGAGAGCTGTGTCGACCGAGTTTGGACAATTAAATTGGCGTGTAGGTCAGTATTTGTAGGAGGCTTTGTTAATTAAGGTAGCACCATAAAAGCACAGATTTTAAGTGAGCCTGCTGGGCTTAATGGCAGGGTAATAAGGTAAATTTGGATAACTTCTTAGTACATAGCAAGCAAAATATTAAAGTTTATAGAAGACTGTTACTGCTTATATATGTGTATGTTTTATGATGCAAAAATGAGAAGCTGGAAGATCTGCATCATTTTATATGTACTTTTAATTAAATTATTTCATTTTAGAAAATTGTTGGAAAATAATATATGTGTCCAGCCTGTTTTTTCAGGTAACTGATAGTGGAGGGCCAGTTGGTTACAGTATTATGGAGAAGGAGGTTGCAGCTGGAAGTGACAGTGTTATATAAAAAATATTAGTTTAGTAATGCAGTGAGAAATATTAAGTATTATGGGTTGGATGTTTCCTGTGGAGGATTTCCGTTAGTCTTGAACCTGAGATCAAGACTGTATAAGGAGGTTGGACTGTAGCTTCCCCTTTTATCCCTAGTTGCCAGATCCATGCTTGTGTTAGTTGTTGGCCATTTTCTTTGGAAACTGAGAAGGAAAGTGGTCATTGAAAAGTGTAGTTTCTGGACAGCCAGGTCTAAACTGAAGAAGTTCATGGGAGACTGGGCATGAAGAATTTGAGTGCATATTTGTCTGAGATGAGCTGGTTGTGCTGATGGGGTCTCCTGGGGAATGAGAGGAAGGAAACCTGTTCTGTTTGGGTTTGCTTTTTTCCCCCTCTGCTAGCTTTATGCAAATCTCTCATTGTTTTATTACAATGTTAGACAAACTGAGAAAGCTGCTTGTGAGGAATCTTTTCCTGGATGTGATGCATGCTCTTCTCTTTTAGCTTGCTGCAAGCGTAAAAGGAATGCTTTTTGTGGGAGTAATGAGTGGAAAGATGAAGCTTAGACTGGAATGGCTGCATTTGCTCAGCTGTAGCATTCACATCTGTGAACACTCGTATCTAAATGTTATTTCTTTGATCACAAAGGAGGCAGTTCCATCAAACTTTACTCAGTTTGTAATGTAGTATCCTCTTTGATATGGGTAAATACTTTGAGGTTGGAAATATTTTATTAGTGCACTTTGCTTTCAAAACTATTTTTCATGGACCTGTTTTGAAGTGATAAAACACAGTTCTGAGAAGTATTGCTAAATGAATGTTTCTAATGAGGATGTATTGGTATGGTGAAGCGACACATTAGCTAAGTTCGAATACAAATTTAAAATACTTCTCATATTCTGGGTTCATGGCAGTAAACTTTTCTGTAAAGCAGGCTTGGCACAGTTGGAAAACCAGCTGCCTCTGTGTGCCTTATTATTGCTCTTCTAGGACTGGAGCTATAGGTTGTGTCTTTGAGATTCCACTTAGTCTGCAAGAAAAAGAGGCTGTTCCCTTTGTGTGTGGGTATCTTTCAATTTGCAAGGACTCCTAAGGTACTTACTGGAATGTAAATAGGTCCCCAAGTGCCTTTTTTTTTTTTTTTTTTAATGTTGATGAGTTAAGAAGGGGAGGAAGAGCTTAGGAAGGGTTTTGGCTCTAATGCTGTCAGTACGACTTCTGCTGAACCATAGAGCACAGTGGGGGGGACAACTTAGCTGTGAAATAGGACTTGAGGTCAAAACTTTAGATGTGCACTAGCTTCCTTAAAGTGTGAAGTTATTGCACTTCCTGGTGCTCTGAGACATGTAGAGATCCGTAAGTTGTGAGAGAGTTTTCTGTTGGGTATGAAACAAACCTATTATATCTGATTGTGCTGGAGAATAATCCATGTCTGTTTTAGAAACAGTCTTGATGAAAGCTACAGTGAGGAGCAATCCATAGAGAAGAGAGATCCCACTGTTTCAAAAGACTTTATGTATTCTATGAATTTCATTACTGAACTCTCCAAACTTTGTATTAAACAGCATTTTCCCTCCCCAACTTTAAAAACAAGATCTAAAAGTAGTGACGTTTTTATATTCTTCTAAGTCTAAACCATTGCTTTTCTTGCTAGTGAGCTGTTTGAAATTCCTTGAATTGAAAAAGGGGAATGTTGGTTGATGATGTAGGGAATTAATTTCACTTGGGCGACTAGTCTTTTAACATTAGTGAGTTTGTAGAGAATTTACTGTATTGGCAGTTTCATTTGTTTCTAAATGAAGAGATGAGTGGGTGGAGTGAGAACTAGGCACTTAGATCTTACCTACTGAGGAGTTCTGATAGTTTTTGTTTAACAAGGGTGGGGTTTTCTGTGGTTTACGTATTTTTAAATGGTTTATTCATTTGCTTTCCAACTCTTGACATATGCTCTGTTTAGGCTGTAGATACTTTGTGCAAGGAAATAGGGAACTCTTTATTGCTGTGATATGTAGTCTTGTTTTAAAACCAACATAATTTGCCTTAACGCTGTTGGAAATAGATGTTCTGTGTAATGTTATAATCCTTTTCAAATGCAATGTGTTTTGATATTCTGACATAAAAGTGTTTAACAGGTTTTTTTTTTCCTGTCTCCTTTTTAAGAACTTGAGAATCTAAATGATGCTCCATTTTCTGGTGATGAAGAAAATGGTGGATCTGAGGAACGAAAAACTGAAATCAATGGAAATTGGATTCCTGCAACTTCGATTACTGAAGCCAAAATAAATGCTAAAGCGAAGAGACGGTTGAGGAAAAACTCTTCTAGAGATTCTGGGAGAGGAGACTCTGTTAGTGAGAATGGAGAGACACTGAAGATTGGAGTTGTACCAACGAGCCCAAAGGGGAAACTCCTGGACAGGCGATCCCGGTCTGGAAAGGGCAGAGGTCTACCAAAGAAAGGTTGGTGTAACTTAGTGAAGAGAGTAGCATGAAATTCTTATATGTAGCAGAAAATCTTATATGTCTGTGATCAATTAACTTCTGCCTTTGAGGTAAGTACCTTTTTATAGAGGACTTAATACATGAATTTGAGCTGTTGGTGTTCCACAGAACTGTTACTAATGCAAATTTAAAGCATGGTTATATTTGAAAGTACAGTTTCAACCTTCAGTAATTCCTGTGCAGTTTCATACTGCTCTTAGAGTCTTACTGGAAAGTGATGAAAAGACTGGTTGCTGAAGTGAGAATACATTAGAGAAACATACCCTTTTCAGCATATATTGTTAGTCAAGAGCTGGGTACAAGCAGTGATAGATCACTTTTAGGTGAAAGGATCTTGTGTTGAACTCAGAAGTGTTCTTTGTAAACTGGTGGTCCTTACTTTCCCATATTTTGCCAGGTGGAGCAGGTGGTAAAGGAGTCTGGGGGACACCAGGTCAAGTGTACGATGTGGAAGAAGTAGATATTAAGGATCCTAATTATGATGATGACCAGGTAGGCAAATAGTTTCTTTGCAAAGTTGTGTTTTATTTCCTTTACTGACTTCAGTTGCTGTGATGGTTATATTAATGGAAGCTTGACCTTATGAGTTATGTGAATGTCAGCCTGGCTGCACTAAATGCTCGGTTTTATGTTAAAAAATGGATTATTGGCTAGTTAAAGTCAGCTGGTGTAGAAGTGTCACAGTGTAATACTCACAAATCTTACCCTCTGAGCTGTGTTTATGTGCCTGACTAAGCAGTGCTCCTTTCCTGGGTGGTTCCAGTGCTGGTTCCCATGGAGGTGGATGTTGCAGTGCTGCTCTGTGTTGCGCACAGGCACCGTGTTAAAAATGCAACACAGACTTGCTCAAGTTGAGAGTTAAGTGGGGGACAGTATCCTCTATGGATTTATTTCTTGTCCCTGTATTCCCAACCCTCCCAGTGTCTTGTATCTATTTGGTATAAACTCTTCAAACACTAACAAAAAATAAACGCTGACATGTATTTATTTGGAATATGTTATGGAAGGTTGTATCTTGCAGCCATATTATTGGGGCAAGGGGAAGAAAGTAAAGCTCATTGGGCAAAGGAGGCTTTGTAACATTAAAAGGGAAACACTGATTACAAACACACTGTTAAAGTCCCTGAGATCAATATAATTGTAAGTTCTGTGTGACATAAGCAGAACAATGGTGGCATCCTTTGAGTAGAGACTATTTGCTGTAGCCATAGCTGCGGAAAGAGTGGTTTGTGGGAATATCAAAACCTTCTTCCAGGATCAATTTTCCCTATAATCCAATATTTTACATTAATAGAGATAGTCATTAAAAAAGAAGCACATAGAAGAAAGTTTAATGAAGAATGAATATTCCGTGTAACTTCTGTTAACAGAGGCTGGTGTGATGGAATTATAGGGGTTTTGACTTCTGCTGTTATTTCTTGATCATGGAAAGTTTCTTTCCATTAAACGTTAGTTGGAAAACTAAGTCTTTGTTCAGATTTCTTTGTTCAGATCTGTAGTGTTGCTCCAAATGTTGCTTCTGTAGTCTGTGCAGAGTAGGGAACTGAATGATAGCAGGGAGATCTGGTGTGCTGGAACTCTGCAGGACAGGTGATAAAAGAGGTAGTTGCTGTGTGACTGTTTTTTTCCCTTGGGGAACGTCATTGCTCACAAATATTCTGACAATGCCTTTTCTCTGGTTCGTACATGGTGTCACCTGTCTGGTCACACAGTCACTGAGGAAGAGGGAACAAGGCAGGGACTTGCTGACAGGGACCCAAGCGCCACTTGCAGGGGAAGCTGCTGTGGCACAGCTGACTCTGCTGGCCTGGGACAGGAGCTTCTGTTGCTCTCCCTTCAGTACACAGACACCTGAACTGTCTGCTAGTGTGATGTCAGCAGAATCCTAGGAACAGAATTTGGATTGTTTACCATTGTTTACCAGTAAATTCAGCCTTTCAGTTGAATTCAGGTAACAGCAAATTCAAAATACGAAGAAGCATAACATCTAGCCAGTATTGTCTACACTTTAACAGTAGAGACATAATCTGATATTTTCTGGCAGAATACTGACTACCAAGAATAAAGCATTAAGGATTTAGAAGTATTAGCACTGCATAAGATATAAGAAGAGACAGTACTCAGGGGATATGCTTTTGTTATCTTTTAAAACAGGAGAACTGTGTCTATGAAACAGTAGTTTTACCTCTGGATGAAAGAGCATTTGAAAAAACTTTAACACCGATCATACAGGAGTATTTTGAACATGGAGATACTAACGAAGTTTCGGTATGTTACATGCCTTTTTATTTCTTTATTTTAGGTGGCAGACCTGTAGCATACAGGGTAATCCAGTTGCTAGATTTATAGTTTATAGAGAAATTGGCAAGAAATGTGTTATAAGAGTACCCAAGCACTCTTGGGTGTTATGTGTTATAAGAGTACCTGAGCAGAAGCATATATGTAATCATATAAATATAAGCACATAAATATTTATTTATTTACTTATAATCTATTTATACATTTAAATAATAAAAAATTTTGGTTTTCAAATCTTTCTTAGGAGATGCTGAAGAATTTAAACCTCGGTGAAATGAAATACAGTGTGCCAGTGCTGGCTGTTTCCTTGGCCTTAGAGGGGAAGGCCAGTCACAGGGAAATGACGTCTAAGCTTATCTCCGACCTCTGTGGGACAGTAGTAAGCAAAACTGATGTGGAAAAATCATTTGATAGACTGCTTAAAGAACTACCTGAATTGGTGTTGGATTCTCCCAGGGCACCACAGGTATATTTGTAAATTTTTATGCCAGTAGTCAAAAGCTTTATGTGGCTAAAATAGATTGAGTAAATTGAAATAGACTCTATATTTAAAAAAATATCTGTTGATTTTCTTACTGTCCGTAATCCTCACCCAATTTCCTAGGCTGATTTTACTTTGAGACAGCTCATTTAAATAAAATCTGAAAACCAAGTAGATTATAATTATCTACTTAAAACTTCTTTGAGATTCAACATTTACTTAAAAATGCTTCTGTTTTGTTGCAGTTGGTGGGCCAGTTTATTGCTAGAGCTGTTGGAGATGGGATTCTAAGCAACACCTATATAGATGGCTACAAAGGCACTGTGGATTGTGTCCAAGCTCGGTAAGTTTCTTTTCTATATAGTGACAATTTTATATTCCAGATGTCAAAGGTGATGATCAGGAATTTAGGAATTCAGGAGAAATCATATGGTTCTTTAGCTTTTTTTTTTTTAAATTTAAAATAATACAGAAACCCCACAAAGTCTGCAACAAACCCAACAAAATCCAGAATGACTCAAGTCAGAGGAGAAATACTGAAAGTGCCTGACAGATGTGTTAATATATACGAGTTCAGTTTGTCAGATTTGTTGTCCAGCTTATGTTTGAGGGTGAAAAATGAGCTGCAACAAAAAGTGGTTATGGAAGGTTTTGTCTTAGAAAAAGCTTTAATGTGATTAATGAGTAAATATAGCATCAGGACAGCTGCTGTAAATATGTTGTGAAATACACAAGGGATTAACTATTTTGCCTTACAAAGGTTTGAAGCTTGTGCAGTGCTTTCTGAGACTTTCTCTATAATGCTTTATTTGTCAAGAAGTGTAATTGTTTTCCATGTCAGTGTGAGAAGTTTGAAGGAGCAATCCCTAACAAAGAGGGATGTTTTAATAATGAGTCATGTTTTATTATTTTTTCTCTCGTAAGTATGTGTTTGAGGCTTGATACAGAGGTGCTGAACTCCTGTGTCTTCCACAAGTGGCATTTGTAGTGACTGTAGTTGAGCACTTTCAGAAGGAAGGGGCATACTTAGCTGCCTACCTTGGGGGTCCAAGTTGTGACAATTATCTGTCACTTATACAAATGTCTCCTGTGATTTGAAGGATTGTAGCCTGCATTCTGCACATCTGGGATGCTTTGTTGCCTTTTTTTGTTTCTTGGCCAGTCTCTTCTGCTCGTTAAATCTTGGTGAATAGAGTTATTGTTATTGGCTTGCCCCCAGCATGAGGACTGGGATAACTGTTCCTTCTTTAGCTGGATGGTACATACTGTATCTGAGGCTTCTTTTTTTTCACCTTACTTCCCTTTTTATTCTTTTTTTCAACAAACTGGCAAGCATCCCTAGCTTGTGCCGTTTTTTCCCAACTACATATTTACCTTCTGAAGTGCTTTCTTGGCTTAAATTCTTAAGGTTTCATAATTCTTTAGACCCAAATGGAAAATAATATTTCAGTAGAAAAGCTGTTCTTCAGTGTGGCAGCAACTCAGGCCTTCTTTGTTTGAGATATACCTGCCAAGCCGCGCTCTTGGAGGAGCCAGGATACAATCCATCTCTGCATAAGAAAATATTCAGCTCTTTTCTGTGAGGATGTTGCAGGGTCTGCATTGATGACTCAGATCATGCCATCAGATCATGCCATCCCAGGGTTGGTACCTGACCTTACCGTGGTATGACCAGGAGCGTAAAGGTGGCAGAAAGAGAACTTAGGGAGCTCAGTTGCTGCATGGTTCCCATGGAGTTGCTAACCCTGACCTCTTCCCCGATATCTGGTAGCTTTGCCATGGAAGAAGTTGCAGATGCATTTTGATGAAGTTCTGTAATACTGTTCTAAAACACTGACTCTGCTTTTAGAGCGGCGCTGGACCGAGCGACTGTGCTGCTGAGCATGAGCAAGGGTGGGAAGCGCATTGACAGCGTGTGGGGGTCAGGAGGGGGCCAACAGTCTGTGAAACACCTGGTTAAAGAGGTTGGTTTTGTTTCGTTATTTGGGTTTTTTTCTTTTTTATAACTCATTTATACAAAGTAGTCTTTAAAAACTGATATAGGTAATTTTGTTGATTTTGTAGTATTTGTCACTGGTGGGAACATGCTAGTACAATAACATTCTGTATTGCAAGTGTATGTTTATTTTTGCTTTAAGCAAAACTTTTAAGCATTTAGCTTTTTAAGAGCTCACAATATAGAATGCTGAAGTAATTAGAAGAGCCAAGATGAAACTGGCTAAACTAGATAAACTAATTTTTTTTGGCATTGCTGATCAAAAGCACAGTAACAACTGTGAAAAAAGAGAGAGGCAGAAACAGGAGTGTTTAGGGATCCAGTCTGTGAAGTAAGCAGGTTTAAAGGAAATAATAAAAATAATGTCTAGGCTGTGAGTGTAACAGATGACAGGAGGAGGCGTTCAAGGGAGCAGATGAACTTAATGGCACCATATTAACCTTTTATGGTGATACAACACAGCTTATAAAGCAATGGGTTTGGTGCTTGTGCATTAGCACTGTGGGTAGGTATTTGGCTTACACTTTGTTTCAGATTACTGATAACGTCTCAATTTAATTAATGACTGAATTTAATTACATTTATAAAAAGACTGGAAGCAAGTTTGAAGAACTAACTTGCTGCTGGGTTGATTGTGGATTATCAAAACAGTTGACAGGTTTTAAATTTATCTAATTAATGTTGGGATTTTTTGTTTGTTTTAAAATTCAATAGATTGATATGTTGCTGAAAGAGTATTTGCTTTCCGGAGATGTACTGGAAGCTGAGCGTTGCCTTCAGGAACTGGAAGTACCCCATTTTCACCATGAACTTGTATATGAAGTAAGGAGAAATCAGAGTCCCTTTAATAATTGTCAGCAATTTGATGTGGGCATGCAAATAATATAACTGGAATTTGAAGCTCAGGTTGCTTGTTCTGTTATTTGAATAACTAAATTGTTTCATGTAAAGTTAAAGGTTTGTGTGCTCATTTTTGTGTGCATTGTGCAACAAGTAAGCTGCTGCTGACTCTGGGAAGATCCAGAACTAATCTTGGGGGGTTAAATAGTTGAATTCATATTATGATAGATTCCTGATAAATGAGAGCTCAGTTTATTTTCTGCTGTGGAATAGCAGCAAAAAAACCTCCCAGTGCTCTGTTTTGGTGGTTTTTTTTTGTTTTTTTTTTAATTCAGATATCTGGGTATTCTAATGGGTGTTACCTGTTTTTGTTAAGTTATAGAGCTTCCTTTTTCAGGAAGCTTTCATCTAGCAGATTTGTAAAAACTCTGAGATATTTCAGACCCAGACTATATGGGAGACTGTTACCATTTGTACTCTTTTATCTGCCAGATTGGGAAATGGTTGTTTACCAATAAAGCTGAACACCCACAATCTACAAAATTTCCTTTGCAGTAAATTGACTCATTTTAGAAAATTCCTTCACAGTAGAAAACCAGAATCATTTCAGTTGATGTGGGTTGTGAAGATTTATAGGTTTTAAACTTCTTAGTTCTTCTAAAATCACAGATACAAAAAACCCATGGATACAAAATTAATTTCACAAAATTAATTATATGCCATCTGTACTGCAGCAGCCATATGGATATAGTCATGTAGTTCTGAAACCAGACACAGAAAGGTAATACTTCTCACTCTGTCTGGTCCTTTTCTGGTTTTTCATACCTTTTATCTTATCTAAAGAACTTTTCATCAGTTTTCATTTTCAAATAATAATAATAATAATAAACTGACATTATGAGTGTATATAACAAATGGACTTGTTTCCCCAGAAAATGCCTAATAATGTATTCATTCCATTTTGCACTTCATATACTTACACACCATGTACCTGAGCCAGTTTTCTTTTTAGTCAGAACACTTGCATGATTTGTTTTAGGCCATTGTGCTGGTTTTGGAGTCAACTGGAGAAAAGACCTTTCAAATGATACTGGATTTGTTGAAGACTCTCTGGAAGTCGTCTGTCATTACTGTGGACCAAATGAAAAGAGTGAGTATGGCACATAGAGAATTCTGTGTAAGGGCTTCCAAAATTTCTATGGTTTCTACCTTCATTCTACCTTCATTTAAGTACTACTTGCAGTCTATTGCTGACTGCTAGGTTGGGGTTTTTTTGCATTCTCCATGGCCATTCTGTATCCCATACAAATAATTTGTCGCTTATGGGAGTGGCCTCGAGTTGTGCCAGGAAAGCTTTAGATTGGGTATTAGGAAAAAATTCCTCACCAAAATGTTTGTCAAACATTGGAACAGGTTGCCAGGGAATCTCTGGAGGAATTTAAAAGACGTGCAGAGGGGGCACTTGGTGGACTTGGCAGTGCTGGGTTAATGGTTGGACCCAATGATTTTAGAGGTCTTCTCCAACCTAAATGATTCTGTGATGTATGTACAATACAAAGATTTCTAGCTGCCTTTATGCAGTTAAATGGTTAAAACGAGTAATTTAAAATGCTGCAATATTGCTTCATTTTTAAATTTATCTTTTTATCTGGTAGTTCTTCCTAATTGAAGTAGTATAATAAAGGCCCACTAATTACAGTGTCAGTTAGAACGGTGTATAGGAACTAGTTTTACACAGTTGGAGTCAGCCATGGCTTTGCTTCTTGGTGTGAGTATGGGACAGCAGTTCTGTCCCAGGGCACAGAACTGGGTGCCACACCAGGACTTACAGCAGAATTCACCCAGCTGTGATGAAGTCACCTCTGGTTGTCACCATTGTTTCTCTTGCTCCATAAACTTGTGGTGGTGATTTGGGGCCACATTTTGTTCATTTCATGGAAGCCATACCAAATTTTCTTCCCATGTTACTACCCATGTGGTAGCAGCCAGGCTAATGTACAGATTTTGTACTGTCTGGATTTCTGACTTCTAAAGAAGTTAAAAACTCAGCTGGTGTTTTTATGAAGATAGGTAGTTGCACAATACCCTGGTATTGGCTGGTATTATACCTTGTTTTTTCACTGACTGGCAGCTGCTCTGCTTCAGGTTTGTTGAAACTGTCCATGGTATGTGTGAAACCATATTGAAAAATAAATCCTCTGAGTGCAGAAGGGTATTTAAAAATTGTAATAAAATTGCAGAATAACCAGATCATTATTTGAATCCTTGTACTGCAGGGCTATGAACGAGTTTACTGTGAAATCCCAGACATTAACCTGGATGTGCCACACTCCTATTCCGTGCTTGAGCGGTTTGTAGAGGAATGCTTTCAGGCTGGAATAATCTCCAAACCACTGAGAGACCTCTGCCCTTCAAGGTACTTGTTTCATTGTAGATGGGGAAGGCACTGCTTTCTTCCTATTGTGGGTAACAGAAAGCAGGATCTTGTGACCAACAGTATTACAGATTGGAAGTGGAAACTATGGAGGATGGACAGAGAGTTGAACTGGTAAAAAGTTTATTAAGAAGCTGCACTGATGTGAAACCTGTTATGTGGAGGCTGGGATAAACAGTTGAGGGGAGTCAGCCTCTGGTGAGTCCCAGGCAGCACCTCAGTGCTCCCCAGAGGATGAGGGCTGCCTCTCCTCTGGATTGCTGACTTGCTTGATAGAAATGAGTGCAGCACTGAGATGGAAGATTCAGGTGTCACAATAATCCATGTAGGTGACAGTGGAAAACTGTCAGCTACAGTGGGGCAATCCCCCCCCCCCCCAAAAAAAAATCCTTTACTTACCAAACAGCATGAATAGAGTTCTAAGATGAGACAACCAGTTCTAATCTTTATGTCAGGACACTAATGTGAGGTTAATTCATACACCCAATCCCTCATATCTATCTGTCATGTGGTTTGTATAGTGCTTTTGGTTTGTTGTTGTTTACTTACTTATGGCATAATTAATTCTGTTTGAACTGTAGCTAATCAGTCTGCTGTTTTCTCCTTACTGGTCAGAATACAATTAACCAGTTTCATTTCCTGTGGGGAATACATGTAAATATACATGTAAATTTTTAAATGTGATGTTAGAACTATTATTCATAGTTTTATGCGTTGGGAATACTATTTATTCGACAGATCTTTTCCAGTTTAGGTGTTTTGTTAGAGTTCTTAAACCATCTTGACAGCTTGTGATAAATTTGGATCTTGAAATGTTAGTGTCTTTATCAAGAACAGCCTCCATTTGTGAACTTTACACTTAAAACTCTGTTTGTGTGTGTCTTGGTATCAAATGCTTTGCAAGTTTGGGGTGTGGGAGGGTTGAGAGTCATCACTGCATCAAAAGCTTGATTATATTTCGGTTACCATTAGTATGCTGAGAGGCATTTTTAGCTTTTGTGCTTCAGTTTTGGGTAGAAAACTGCCATTCCTAGGTTTTCAAACTTGCGTTTTTAAGCAGTTGAGCTGATACTGTGATCACTGCTCACCCTGCTGAACTCACACACCTTATAGTTGACTCCCAGGAAGGTGGTTCTTAGGGATAAAAAACAAGCAATGCTACTCTCAGTTACTGAAGATATTTTCTACTTTCTTACAGGGGCAGAAAGCGTTTCGTGAGCGAAGGAGACGGAGGTCGTCTTAAGCTGGAAAGCTACTGAATGTGAGAACTGACTCCTGAAGCCTTACAAGTTTAAAGGGAACATAGCTAGCTATCTATATATACAAACACGCATGCTTCTTCGTGTGTGTATGTATATATGTATACACATATATAATATACCAAATCTGAGAGTTGCTTAGCACAGTTCGTATTTTTTTAAAAGCACATGTTTTGGGTACAAATTGTTTTTTTTTTGGTTTTGTTTTGTTTTGTTGTTTTGGGTTTTTTTGTTGTCTTTTTTTTTTTTTTTTTTATTTTTTTTGTTGTCTTTTTTTTTTTTTTTTTAATAGTTTTGTAAATTTCAGAAAGAAGTGTTCTCTTTGGGCATAATAGTAGAACAACTGGCCACTGCTGTGGTGGTGCCTTCAAATAAGCTATCTCTGTACGTGCCATGTTTATGACCTAATCATTCCCCATGTGCATCCGTGTCCGACTGCTGCGCGCTCTTTCCAGGACAGTGCTGTCATCATAAAAATCACTGTTTATACTAAGCTTTATAGAAGGGTCAAGTTAAGCTGCTGTGATCCCATTTCCATTGCTGCTGAAGAAATACTGTGCTTTGGGAGGAAAAAAAAAAAAATAGAAGTTTCTTTGTTTTAAAGAGCCCAAGAAAATAAAGAGTTGGATCATAAAGATAAATTCATCTTTTTCAGGGGAGAACACTGGTTGGTTTCATCCCCCGTGTACCAAACTTGTCTTTTTTTTCTATGTAACTGGAAAAGTGAAAAGTTCTGGTAAAACATATTAAAAATATTTTTTGTGAAGCTCTTGTTTGTGCCTCCTTTTTTTATTTCTTTTAAACAGAACAGATTTAACTGTGTTCAAATCTCTGAAGTGTGTGCAATTCGGCAGTACATCTAACACCGCCCTTTGGTATTGCAGTCAGCGTGAGAGCACTGAGTAATTAAACTCATGGTAAGTATTTACCAGATCTGTTTTTGAAAACACAAGTGCCTGGCGTAGAAGCGTCCAGGCTGGCACAGATACTGTGAACGTGTCTGTACAGCACAGCTCTGCCAAGCCCTTGCTCAACAAGAAGATGAATCTAAAGAATACTCGCGTACGGGAACACAGTGGAGCCTCTCCTGTGTTTTTCAGTTTCATGTCAAGATTTGGGGTGTTCAGAAGTGCTGGGAGTAGCCGTTCCAGGCCCGGGAACACGACGTGCTCCAGCAGACAAGCGCTGCCCTGCTTAAGCGGGTCTGGTAAACCCGGCTTAGAGCAGTGGAGTTGTGTAACTTGGCTCCTCCCGCGGTCTGCCGGGGCCGTCCCAGAGCAGCTCCTGCCGGGGGCGGTTCTGGTACCTCTAAAGCCGCGTTTAAAACCTCGCCTTTGAAGCGACCAGCGGAACTTCTACACGAAAAGCACCCGCCACGCGGCCTCCCCCGCCCAGCGCAGCACCACCTCCTGCGTTCCAGGCCAGACTTTAATCCGCAAGCCCCGTTACAAAGCGCTACCTCGATCGCGGGAGCGGCCCCGCCAGGCTCGGCCCCGCCAGGCTCGGCGCCCCCCGCCCGGGGCTATGGCTGGGCCGGCGCGGCCCCCGCGGACGGCGGCGGGGCCCCCTCGGGCGGCTGCGCGGCCTCCAGCGCCGCCCGCTGCAGCTTCTCCAGCTTCTCCAGCGACACCGACTTGAGCGGCAGGATCTTGGGCTTGCACAGCACCATGGTGGCCGCGTCCTCTACCGACAACTGCCCTGAGGGGGGAGAAGGGCGGTGCGTGAGCGCCGGGCCGGGCGGGCCGGGCTGAGCCGCGCCCGCGGGCCGTACCTTGCTTGGGCAGCACCTCCCGGAGCGCTCCCGTCCCCTCCGGCATGGCGGCTCCGCACGGGACCGCCGGCGGGAGAACTACAGCTCCCAGCGCGCACCGCGCGGCGCCCCGCCCACGCTTTGCCGGGCGTGCCCTCCCGGTGCATGCTGGGAGTGGTAGGCCTAGAGGGAGCGCTGGCTGCCGACGTGCGCGCTGGGAATTGTAGTTCCTGGCGTGGCACTGCTCCGGGGCAGCGCCGGGCGGGACGGGAGTGGCCCCGCCGGGGCTGTCCCGGGGCCGGGATGCCGCTCCCTGCCTCAGCTGCGCCGGGCTCTGCGCTGGGGCGGCGCCGTCCCACCTGCGCGGGCCTGCCCGGCCCCGGCGAGCCGCTGCCTGCCCGCCCGCCGGGGCCGCCGCGCCTCCCCCCGCTCGCCTCAAACCTGGGCTTTGGGGCGCTTTTATGGTTTATTTTATGGGTTTTTTTTTTTTGTTTTGTTTGCTTTTTTAAAGAAAATCCCCAGCAGACACCGTCCAGCAGACAGGCGTGGCCAGGGCGTACGCGTCCCGGTGTTCATTTCCAGGCAGCGCCTCGGGATTCGCGACGTGAATCAAGGTCCTGTTTGACATGTAAACAGCAGCAAAAGCCAGTGTCTTTCTAAACACCGAGAGATTAAATGTCGCCGAACCTGATGGGCCAGCGTACCGGGATCCCCCCCGCCCCCCAAGAGGATAGGTTCGCCTTTTGGAAGATCCTTGCCGCTGGGAGCAGCTTCCCTGGGAAACCCCCCTGGGGAGCCGCGGTGTGACCCGGTGTCGGCGGACAGGGATTTGCCTATCCTGGAACTCTGCGATGTCCCAGCAAGCCCCGATTCCGGGACGTGTTGTAATTTTAGAGTTTGCTAATGAGCTTGCCTGTGTGCCCTGTACACAGTGTGTGCCTTGAGGATTGGCAGTGCAGGCTGGTAATCCTGCTCACCTGGCCCTGGCAGGTGGTGACAACTCCTTTAATTGTTCTAGGATTGAGAGCTGGCTTCTTGCTATGCACAGAGCCTGGCGTGGACGAGTAAAATGAGGGAGAAAATTATTTTTGCTAATAATTCTTTACCATTCTGCCTTGATGGTGGCTGTTGGCATGCTCCCCTCTGCAAGCTCAGGCACCGTGCGGGACCTTTCAGCTGTGGGATCCAAGGCTTAGGTTTGCTGGGACATAAAACTGTGATAAAACATTTATGTTCCAGTAAGCGACACTTCTCTGATAGTTATTTAAAGTCTCTGTCTGCATTGTTCCAGAACTATTTCCTTTTTCCTCTAAGCAACCTAGAGTAGGAAGCTGACGGTCCCTCAGGTAACCCGCTTTCACCTCGCTGGAAGCCTCGCCTGATGTTGGATTGGAGGCCAGCAGAACCCACAGAGGGTGAGAGTGGGTCTCCTCCTTCCTGCCTTTTGTGGAGCTGGCCAAAGATAACACTTCTGGGTTGGTCCTGGGTAGTGCAGAAATGGGCCCTTTTTGTTGTTACTCACATATTCCACTCTCAGGTCAGAAAACTGGCATGCATGACGCTGTAAAATGGATGTGCTTGCTTGGGACATCCTTCTCTACTCTTTGAAGTGCTCAGAAGCATTCCGACTGATTTCAGTGGGAAAAGATTCTTTGTCTGATGTGTTAGTCCATGTGCCAATTAGTATTTCGTACTGACTGGAAGGGAAAGGACCAGGGGTGGATTTATGATGGATGTTTGTAGAGCAGGGCATTTTAAACAGTAAGTGCAATTTGCAGATCAGTAATTTGGTAGTTGTTTGTTTTTAAAAAACAATTCAGCATCTTAGATATGGCTATGGCTGAAAGTGAACATAAAAGACAGCGAGTTATGACTGAAAATTCCACACTGTGAAACCAAGAGTTATTCCTGTGGTAAAAAATACGGCCTGTGGAGCAACAGAAATGAACTGAAAGCAAGGTGTTGTAAATCAAATTGGAGGCCAGGTTTTTTGCCAGTGTCCTTCTTCACAGTGCCAATGACCGCCTGGAGTCCAGCATTATGTGAGGATGGGCGTTTGGAGCCTGTCTCAGTCATGCAGGGAATCACTTTCCAAATGCAGTTTTCCTGCCAACGGGGTTTGTTTGCTTGGTGATAAGAAACAATGGTCAGCTCAATTTGTTACATGAGCAATTTAGTGACTGAGAAGTGGAGTCTGGCATCCTATACTAAATCCATTTTCTTAGTTACTCAAATGCCAGCTTGGCAGCTTATTTAGAAAGCTGATAGCACCGGGACAGACGTGACTGTGGAGGTTGTTTTCAGCAGTCTCTTGTAAGTCTACTTTTAAGACACCTCTCTCAGTTGGGAAAAAAACCCACAGTTACCACCTTCAGGACTGGGAGATCTGGATGAGAGAAAGGAGAGAGGCATAGGCATTGTCTGCAGCTTAATATCCTAGTTTTCAAAGTGCCTTAAAAACAGTACTGAGTTTAGTTTTGAGTAAGGCTGATTTATTCACTAGAGTGGTATTAGCTATACTTAAGAGGGAAAAGCATGTCATGGAGGACATAATTCCCCTTGTTTTTTTGGAAAAGAAGCAAGAAGAGAAGTTGTGACTTTTCTAATTACAGATGAGGGATCAAATCTTTCCCTCTGCTGAAGAAAGCGTAGTTATACCCCATTTTTTTGCCATTTTTGGTCTCTAGGATCAACATGTGCTTGAACATACACTCATTTCTCTCATGGACCTTTCCAGTTTCCAGAAATAGCTAGAAAGTTATTTGCCGAAACCTTTCAATCTGGGAAAAAGCACCAGGCTGGAGAAATCAGAACTAGACTATAGCCATCATGATGCCCAGGTCTCAAGTTGTGTCCCCGTGGCATGCAGCTTCCCAAGTCCTGAGACTTGATCTTCAGATAAAACCCAGTGTTAGAGAAAACGTGAGTGTGGTATCCATGGAGAGGACAACAAGCTCTCGGTTGCACATCCTTATTTTACTGATGTCACAAACAAGTTATTCTTGTACACTGCAGAGAGCCTCACAACCACAAAACCAGCAATAATTTTATAAATGATAAGCTTGTTTTCCTCCTCCTCTTCCCAGATACTCCGAGTGCAGCAGACAGCAGAGATGTGCATTGCTGGAATCCAGAGTGTTTCGTAATTTGGCAGCCACTTGCTGAAAGCCCTGCAGATACAAAACAACACTTATTTCAAGTCTTGAGAAACATCTACTAAGTAGAAGAAAAAAGCATTTAGGTGAAGCAATGTTGCCAGTCCCATTTGTTTATGAGGCTTGTTTTTTGTCTCTGTACATTTTAAATGCTTTTTATTTTCCTTCTGCTTTTTGAGCCTTTCAAGTTCCCATTTTCCATGTTTTCCATATAACAAGAAAGTCTGGAATCAAGTCCTTACTTTAAAAAACAAAAATTTGGTTCAGAGTCCTGTATAATCATGTAGCTCCAGACAAAGGGTGTTTAAAAATAAAGCCGCTTTGATGAGAACTACCCATCTTGAAGGTGACTTTCTCTCCTGAGTTTAAGTACATACTTTGTTGACAGTTTAAGAAGCTTTTAACAGCACCTGATCTGTGTTTGCTTTCCACTCAGATCTCTCTCTCTTTTCTTCTTTTCTAAAAATCTAGAGCGTGTTTCACGTCTATATGTGCTGACAAGATCAGAAGTGCAGGGTGCCAGCGTGACTCTGACCGTGTTGAACAATGCACACCAATGCTTTCAGAAATACAGGTGCAGATTTCATGCAATCGTCTCCTTAAGCTGCTGAGTGGTACCATGGGACACAGAGCCCAACTTCAGAGACAGGAGGAGGAAGGTGGTTTGGGTTTACTGGGTGGGGTAAGGCGGGGAGCAGAAAGCCTGGTGTGACTCCCTGAGGGAATCCCAAAGAATTCCAAATGCCTTCAGAGCCTGAAGCTTGATAGATTGTGTTTAACCCAGTCCTTGTTTTTGAAAGGGAGTTGACAGACAAGTGATTTCTTTTAGTTGAGCTTTCAGAATATACTTATTTTAAATTTGTTGTTTGGTGCAGTGGGATCCTCAAGCTGTATACAAAAGACAAGAAGGAGATGACCCTATTCAGTGTGATGATTTTTCTTTCGCTGCTACGTACGTAAAAGTGTCTGGAAATCTATTATCCAATGGACACAAAACCAGCTTTTTGACAGGCTGCTCTTCCTGCTAAAACCTGGTAAATGCAGAGACCTGACTGTGTGTAAGCCCCATCCTGGGCTCCCAGGCCAAATGCTCTATCATGGCATTTCTAGGAGGTTACTGCTCTACTTGTGTGGTTTGAATCGCTTAAGTCTTTGGCCCTGTGCCTTGGAGTGCCAGCAGAGGCATGCTGTAATTGCCCGTAAATGCACCGTCTGTCATATTATTGTTTAATTATTCCAGCTTCTTACCGCCACACACTGCTCAGTGTCTCTCTTGCTATCTTTATTTAATTGAGTGGAAAAAATTCGAGACTTGTGCTTCAGTTACATCACTTTGTTTTTACTCAGCTTCGCTGGATCCTATGATGAAGTCTTACCTTTTGTATGCAGAAGTCAGTCTTCTGTATAGAAAAACTATTGTCAATATCTAAAGCATATGTTAGAAAGAGAATCAATATTTTAACACATGGTAAAGTCAAACCATAAATTTCCTGACACAGACAAATGATTGTATTATTCTGCCTTGAAACACTACTCCTCCCCCTGAGAAACAAGAGAGGGAAAGAAAACTCTTGAATAACTAAGCCCTTGTCCTCACAATGCAGGACTGTTCTTAGGCTGTTGCTCTGTGTTGCTTCTTTCTTTTCTGTCTACTAACTGTCTCTTTTTTGTGTGTGTCAAATGCCTTCCTTTTCAAGACCTGTCTTTCCCTACCCCATCCCTGTTCATCTGTTCCAGACTATTACCAGGATGTCAGCTCTTTCCTGAGATCAGCCTGTGATGACCAGTTCCACTGCCAACTTGCTACCATTTCAAATATGTCTGTGCTTCCTCACAGCCTTGCAACCAGCCCCTTATTAATGTGTGTTGAAAAAATAATCTTTCAGAGCTCTCTCCAACACTCTCCATGTCCGTATGGCCTATAAAAAAACTTGGCAGCACACTGACTGCTTTTCTTTCCTCATGCTCCCTGTGTCTGTGACAAATGTATGTCATTTTTCTAGTCTTCTGCCTCTGAATCGAAACACTTCTTGCACAGCCCCCTGCACACAGATCAAGGCCCTTCTGCAATACAACAACAATAATAAGTATTAGGGTTGCTGACACTCACGCTGCTCTACTTTTCATGGCTCTGGGAAGAAAGAGTTTCATGATGTCCTTTTGGAAGATCTATTTGCACCTGAATGATCTGGTTTTCAGATTGTTTTTTGTTTTTTTTTTAGAAATCCTCAGCTGAAACTGTCCTCTACAGGTGTACTCCCTATAATGCCTGGCTCCCTAACTGAGCCAGCATCATTATTGGGGTGGTTCTTTTCACTTCCTCTAGCTGAACTGTAAGATTACTCATTACATACTATTTTCTGTTTTGTTTTATTTTTCATCCCTCTCTTTTCTGCAGGAAAGAGCAATTTATATTAGGATTGGAATTCACTTCAGGCTTTACTGCTATTTGTCAGCACTCAGGAAACCCATCCCTAGCTCTAGGAGAACACTCAATCCCTGCTGACAGCCTGGAAGAGGAAGAGAAAATAGCAGAGCTGCAGCTATTAAGACCAACAGGCAAATATTTTATTCAAACTCAACTTTTTCTTCCCAGGTTACTTTTAAAGAATATTTTTCTGTTTGTGGGAATGTGAATGTGGGTTGTTTGTTTGTTTGTTTTCCTGGGGACTCTCCTATTCAGCTGATCTTCATCTTCTCCCACCTTTCAGACAGCAGAGCTTGCAGCAGTGACAAGATGTAATCCCAAGTAAAACTGCCTCTGCCTGTGGCCTTGGTTAACCTGCTGGCAATGATACGTGCCTGGGCACAGAGCAACTGTTTTACACAGCTCAGCATGGACGTGCTGCCACTCCCAGTCACTTTTAGGACCCAATTGAGTTGTTTACAGCAATCTCAAAAAAAACTTGTAATAAAAATTGTTGTGCCTTCCTGAAGCCACCACTCCCAGAGACCTTTCCCCTTTCTTGTATATTGTGGGAGCCTCCTTCCTTCAGCTTCACACCTTTATCAGCTGAAAATGATCCAGTACAGAACTGGTTGTTGTCAGGCTCTCCCTTAGAAAGATGGGCTACGCTGCCACTCTGTTGTGACTGTTGAGAACGGGAAGATCAGAGAGGAACGCAGGGAAGTGGAAGCCTGCACCCTCTTTTGTGTGGAACAGTCAGTATATGCCCTTGTATAAAGTTCAGCATAGGAAAACTTGGGCTGCACTTGCATTCCTACATACCATGCCATACCAGTCAGCCTGGTACTAATCTTCACGGACCTTTGAAGGCATGAAACAACATGCAGTGTAAATGAAATCTAAGCCACACCATACCAGATTATTGGTGCCAGCCAGTTTTAGAAGACTGACACAAGAGCCAAGTGAAACAGGTACAGGAGATGCCTTGTACCACCTGCAGGCACACAGACCCACAGCACTTGTGCAGCATCCGAGTCCAAAAGCAGTGTGCGGCATGTAAAGAGCTGGTGAACCCAGGGCCACTTAGACTTGAATGCACTTTCCTGGGGAGGAAGTGGCTTTTCCCTTGGAAAGCTCAACTCCCCAGGGTCTGAATGAGGTCAATGGAAAAAGTGATTTTTTCAGAATATGATTCAGAGTGCCTAAGCATAGTCTTATCTTATTGACTACAGACAAAGCTCAACCTCTGTAGATTTAAACTAGCTTTTGTGAATACCCATCCCCTCTTGCCCCTTAATTGTGGGAGTTACACTAGTCCTGGACATGGTTAGTCCTTGGTAGGCCCACTGCCTACTGAAATTCAGGTGCTGCAAACATCAGCTCGGAGAAGCACAGAATTTCCTGTTGGATCCTGCTTTGTCCTTTTGAGTTACCCTGCGATGTCAGAAATGGATTTGCAAGTACCAGAAGAATGAAGTCAAGAAAGGTTGATTTCTTTAGGGATGCCCTGATTGGAGCTAGAATAATCAGCATCTATTTCAGTTTAACTGAGTTTTTCATTCTGGCCTTTCTCCCCTTTCAAAGTACAGGCAACTGAAGCCTTTAATTTGCTCTGTCTTTTCACTGCAGAGAAAAGTAGGAGTTTCTAAGAGCTGATACTATCCTGCGTAGAATAGCTACACTAAAAAAATACAGTTTATTGTCTGTTGTGAATGAAAAAGCTCTTGCTTTTTTGTTTGTTGTGTTGACTTTGAAAGATAAATTGTTTGAACTGGTTGACTCTCTATTTGTATAACTGAAGATTAGCTTCTTGATAGCCTGCTGGATTTGCAGTTTTCTCTTGAACTAAATAAACTGAAGAACTGCTGGCCCAGGGGCAGTTAGGACACAGTGCATACTGGAAAAAGTTTGTGTGCATAGAAGTAAGAGAAAATAACTTCATGCATGACATGTGTTATGTGCTGTTTTAGTGTTGATATGTCCTGTCGTTCCATCTGGAAGAGCTCCTATAAGACCTAGGAAGCCCGCTTAAAAAATTGCTAACAGACAGAGATAGGTGGCTAATGAGTTAAAAGTTGAAGCTGGCAGGACAAAAATTGGTTTTTACACAAAGTTCTACAACCCTAAATCATGCTGCTTGTTTTTGAGAACATAGGTACTTGGTCCTTTTATCATACATTTGCTTTGTAGAAAAAAAATGGAGAAAAAAGCAAAAATAACTTCAAGTAAGCAGACCTGGCTCTGAACATATAAAAGGAACAGAGAGTAAAAATAGCAACATCTTACTGTGCTGAGTCCTTCAACAGAGAACCACATTTTGAGGTTCCCCTTCTTTGCATCCTCCTTTGTATTGCAAAGGCACCTTGCCCCAAGCAGAAGCTTTTGCTCTGGGAAGGCAGTCTCTGTTTTCAATGGGACAGAGCTTGGTGTCAGCCATTCGATTGCACTATCAGCTTCTAGACATTGACAAGGGCTCTGACTGTCCACGTGCATCCTCCAGACATGGTTTCTGTGCCTTCCTCTCTACTCTTCAGCTTCTGAGTTGTGCCAACTGGTCCAGCCTTCCCTGTCTTTGTATACTCATAATAAAGGCAGTGGAGCCAAAGTGACAATCAGGGAAGATATGAAAGAATGACAAAGGCATACACTATTTTTGTGATGGGTATGATGGTCACAAAATGAAGTGGGCTTTGTTGTGCCATCAGCCTTCAAAACATGCTTCTCACTCCCAGAATAGAGACCCATTACAAACTTTGGCTAAGAGACTGAAGCCAAACTTCTGATAAAGCAATTATTCAAAAGGAAAAGGGATAGGATAGGGCAGGAAGATCTGATAGACTGAGGTGTGGATGAGAAGATAAAAACCTAGGACAGGGAACTTGGAGATTTGAGAGGGATAGAGGGAAATTGAGATACACAAAGAAAGAGAAACAGGGAATTAGAGGAGTTTTATGCTGAGACTGGCTGGTAAGGAACTGGCAGAATTCAGTTTGCCAGTACAAGAAACAAGAAGGAAAAGTGAAGGAAGTCAGGGGGATAGGCAGTGACATGAAGAACCAGGTAAGAGACTGAACTAGGACCTGGCATAGGGAACCAAAGTTGGAGACCCTATTGGAAGTTAAGAAAGGAGAGGCAGCCTGGGGAAGGAACAAGCGATCCAACTCTGAAAGTGGAGGCCAGGCACAGGCAAAAGGGAAGGGAATGGAGTAGCAGGGAAGAGCTGTGGGAAGCAGCCCCGCACAGGGCAGAGCAGAGGGGTATGTGGGTGGAAAGGGGCCCAACGGGCTGTGCTCGCTGGGACATCCTGACTTGCAGAGCTGGAAGTGGAACAGAGCTTCCCTGAGGCTGGCCTTCATATTGCCTCAGCCAGCAAAGAATTTGCTTCTTGTGCTGTCTGCCCCAGCCTGTGGTACAGAAACGACTGGAGCCGAGTGTCCTTGGATGAGGCAGCGGCAGCTGCCTGCCTGGGGGAGGAGAGCAGGCTTTCTTGTAGTTACATGACAAAAATTTTACAGTTGGGAGGAGGTAGTGAAAAGGCCACATGACCAAGAGAGAAAGGGTCAATTCATTAGTCTGGCAGCCACTAAATTAAGAAAAGGCAAGTGGGACCATTATATCAGAGGTATCTGAATTCAGTCAAAGATGGTTCTGAAGTTGCTAGATTGATCTTGTGGTCAGCTTAAGCAAGTTTAACTAATTAATTGCATAATTTTAGCTCATTGTGTAAGAGCTAGCTCTTAATAAATCACACTGCTTTGTAGAAATATGCTTGAAACAACTGTGTAAATACTGAATAGCCTTAGGAGTGGTCTTATGAATCCACTGAATAATCCAAATTCCAACAGTCATCCCCCTCCACTGCTGATTTAGATGGAGGATAGCAGTCCTGTGCTGCTGCTTCTCTTTGAGTAAAAGGGACAGAAGTCTGTGTTGGGCACACAAAGGTGTCAGCACGGCTGATGACCCACAGAGGTGCTGTGATGCTGCATGATCTTGCACTGACAGTTGTCCTTTTCAGGAACACAGGAAATGCTACCGGTATTACAGCAGCATTAGGAAGCTTGCAAAGCCAAGCCTTTAAAAGTTAGGCAATGTTCAAATGCAATTGACAGTGAAACCTTAATTCAGAACCTTAATTTATTTCAATGTAGATGGCAGTAATTCAAGGTCCTTGCACAGTCCTGTGGGTTTTCTGGGGCAATGAAGACTGAGGAACCTCTGACTTGCTATCTGTGGAGTTAAGGAGAGGTACTCAGTCACAGTACCACATGGTTCAAAATAGGGACATGTCAGCACAGTCTCCTGGCCCTAAGAGACCCCTAACTAATAATTGTAAGGGTTGTGACTCTTATACTTGCCTTCTGCACCGGGACCAGTCTGCACCAATGAGATCTGGGGACAAACAGTACTGATGGAAACCAGGAGTCTGAGAGCCAAGCTTTCCAGCATCCAGTAGGAGGGTATAAAATTAACTACTCCATTTGTGCAGATTAAAAACAAATCTTGTGCGTATGAATTCTGCCTTTGCAAAAATGTCTGTTAGTTCTGATTGTTGGCACGAGTATTACCACAGTATTGGTCTAATCTCATTTGACATATTTAAGGGATTGCAGCAGAAGGGTGGAGTTACCACTGTAAATTTCTTGGCTGATTCCTCATATAGTGACAATTGTCCTGCTCTGCTTTATATCAGCTTTTCAGTTTTAAGTTTTGTCATGAAAAGAGCAAATCAGGGTTTTTGAGTATAAAGCAATTTTTTTTTTAGATTTCAAATCATAATTTTGAAAGCAACGATAGTAGAAACAGAAACAGAATCTCTGAAAGAACCAGAGTAACATGTATCCTTTGTAAATACTTCAGTGCTAAGGCAACTGGGCAGTGGCACTTTGCACACAAAGAGCCTGAGAAATGTAAAGGTACATGGTCAACAAAACATTCAGATCCTCCCTACGTCTGGTGAATACACACCACAGTCTTTTATTACAGAAGACTGTGTTCAAATAAGTCACACAAGAAACACTTATTTCAGATTCCAAGCTTTCAGGGCAAAGTGTGTATTTCCATGTCTTGTAGAGGATTTTGCGCTGTTGACACAAGTTTTACTGAGTAATAACAACAAATAAATATCCAGTCATTGTAATAAATATCATCACTAGGAAATTACACTTGGTTTCTGGCCTGTGACCCACTATGCCAAAAAGTCAATTCTGCTTTTAATGCTGTCCAGCATTTGTTAGTAAAACCCCATGTAACCACATTGAACTGCCTGGTTTGCCGAAGACTCACACAAAGGAAATTGGCAGAACCCAAAAAATTGAATGTGGGTAGCCTTGTTTCACTGAAACCGCCCTAGATGGTTGCCAACAATTGTAAAAAACCTGATGGAAATAGCAAAATCTCAGATTTGACTATCTGATGTAGGAAATAGCTACCAAATGGTTTTGATTCAGCCGAAGTGGCTGCTGTTTGTTTCAAATGTGAGCCAGTGGGACCAGTCCAGACCAGCAAGTACTGAGATCAGTTAGTAGACTCCCACTAGCTTGAATGTGTTTTAGAAATTAGAAAGTTAAGATACTACTGCGGTGCAGAATCTGTCTAGGTTTGAAAGGGGAACTGATTGCAGCCACCTGAGAATTTAGCATTAAAAAGCTAAACCTTTCTCAGCAAAATACCAAAAGATCTGTTATAACAAGTCGTCAAAGAACTTGCTTTTAAATCCATCCAAAATCAAAGGACAAGTGATCACAGATGCTCTGCCACACTTGAGTGTACTTGTCTACACAGAGGTATGGCTGTTACCTTCTGAGTGGCTGCTGCCATTTCTTGCAGCTCCCACATATCCCTTGCAAGGGCAGTTTGGTTGTGATATCTCCTACAGACCAAACAGTCAGCACATTGCTCGGAGATCATAGTATTTGCCAACTGGGGATAGTCCTGATTTTGTCAAAAAAGGAAATGTGGAAATGTCACAGTCCCCTGGCCCATCTCTTTGGCAATGTCTCAGTACCTAAAAGGTGACTTGCAGCAAGAGCGAGGTGGCTATGCCATGAACACAGCACTGAGGAGAGTGACTTCATACCAGGTCATTGGATCAGAATTTCTGATCCTGCCTGTGCTGGGGGCAAATTCTCCAGTTAAACTGTTGGAATGGCAGGAAAACACTTCCTGTTTGTTGTAATACTACTTTAATTCGAGTTGCAGTCAGTCACCGGCGGAGCTGTGGGGCTGACCTCCTCACCCGGGGGGATCTCGACAGCGGTGGCACCACGGTAGGTTCCACCGGGATGTGCGGAGCGCAGGGTCCCCGTCCAGTCTGCCCGGCGGGTGCGAGGCTTGCGGGACACGGGATCAGCGCAGAGACAGCGGGAAGCCCTGCCCGGGGAGCCGGGGGGACGCTGGAGCGGGCCCCGGGAGCGCGGCGGTGCAGCCCGCACGGCCCCGGTCCTGCACGGCCCCGCTCCCGCCCCGCTCCCGCCCCGCTCCCGCCGTCGCCAGGGGCAACGCGGCGCTTCCGCCGTAACCTGGAAGCACTCGGTGTCCGCGGTCCCGCCCCGAGTGCCGCGGGAGGGCCGTGGGCGGGCGGTCCCGTGACGGCTCGGTGCGCACAGACGGTGGCCGGCAGGGCAGGGCCGGGCGGGCAGCGGGTGCCGAGCGCGCCGCGGGAGGATGGCGGAGCCGCACGGTGCGGGGCGGGGGCGGCGGGCGGGGGGCTCGGCGGGCAGCGGGCGGGGGCGGCGGGAGGCCGCGGGCACAAAGGCGGGGAGGGCCGGGGCGCAGGTGGGGGTGGCGGGGCACCGGCGGGGTGTCTGTGCTCGCCGCCACCCCGGCACGGCGAGGCCGGGGCAGGGGGGGCGGCTGATGGCCCCGCTGGCCCCGGCGGAGGGGCTGCCCCGCTCCCCCGCGCTGCCGGGCGATGGCATCGACCGCCACCACCACAACAACAACAACAGAAAAAAGAAAGGAGGAAGCTCCGTCTCACAGCCTCACCTCTCCTCCTCCCCTCCGGGTCCCGGTACCGGGAGCTGGCAAAGAGACATTTAAGGGACTTGTCGTGTGTGTAGTGGCAGTGGCGCTCAGGGTAATGATTACCGGCGTTCGGGTAATGATTACAGCTGCCTCTGCCCGGGTCAGTGCGGTCCCCCACCCTCGCATAGGCGTGAGACTCTTTTCCTGTTTCAGCCGATGTATTTATTGTGGCAATTCTGATGGAGCCAGAGAGACAGAATCTCGTTTCAAAAGTCGTCGCCTTCCTGTCTAGCCAGGTGATTTTCCCGGTATTTAAAACAGAGAGGTGTGACAGAGAAAAGCGGTGTGACAGCTTCCCGCGTGTATTTGTGGCTGGAGAAGGCGTTTTCACCGAGTTGTACGTATCTTTCTCTGGGGAATGCCTCAAAAGCTGTAGTAACCTTAGTAAGGGGAACGGCTCTGTGTGTTGACTAAAATTGCGACTGGGTGTGAGCTGTATGAAAATTCAGCAGAACTGAAGTTGTGGTGAAACTGGGTTGCTGCTTGACGTGTCCATCTTATTTATGCATGTGGAATAAAAAGTCACAATGTGTGAGAAAACAATTACAAAGTACTGAAATAGTGCTGGTAATTTTTAAGTTGTGTATTTGAGATGGGACTGTGGAAGCATTCAGTTCTGCACATGTGCAGACACTTTTGAGGCAGAATATGCATGATCAAGAAGTTGTAATCGTGTGTATTGTCGCTGCTGCAGTACTTGATCGGGATTTTTTGGACTATCAAAATAGAAATTAAGATGGTTTTAGTAATTACCTTCAGGGTCTTAATTTTCTACTGTTTCTTGTTTGCACATTTGACCTTATGTATTTCTTTTACCTTCTAAACTGTGTGTTTTTATTTTTCTTTTTAATCGCTAGTCATTATGGTATACTTCTATTTATAAAATCAAGGGCTTGAAGTAGGTGGTGGTCAAATTAAGTCACACTTATTTACAGCCATATTTCAGGCATATGTTGTATAGTGATCTTGATATAATCCTAGCCTGGTTTTGGGAAAGATTTACTGTATCTTATGAATTTGTTATTACACTGCTGTGCATACATTTTAATTTTAGTAACACCCTTATCCTCTTAATTCCCACCGAATGATTTGGATTGACTGTTTTGCTTTTCTGTGTAATAATTCTTTGCTCTGGATGAGTAAAACAGGAGATTATTGTACTAATTTGAAGCCAGATTCCTTTAATTTTAGGCTGTTTGTCAGCTGTCAGCATTTCCGTACGTGTGGCAAGGCAAAACATGTACATCAGGCAAAACTAATTTTATATGTAATCTTGTAATACAGAAACATGATTCCAGACAAAGCTCTCCTTTGTGTCCACCGCCTTCCTTTGAGGAATAGCGAGAGATCCTCAAAGAGGATGCTGTCTTCTTCCACGTCCCTCTCTCTACTCTTTCTAGAAATGTTAAACAACCCCTAGCATTTTTTCTTAGGGGTGATGGCGAGGGTAGGGTCGATGAGCAGCGCTGATTGCGAATAGCTGCTCTTCCCGGTCTAGTTTTTCCTTTCCAGCGTAACAGATCCGTAAGGCAGGAGGTGCTGGGAGGGGCGTTCCTTTGTTATGTTGACACTTTAATCGCACTGACGGGTGTATTCTCCTCCAGGAATTCTGTGTGATTGAAGGAATTCCTTCAGACGGGGAATATTTTCTCCAGCTGTCTTCCCGCACTGTTAGCCTATGTACAGAAATTAATTGCTCGGAAGATCAGTGCTGTGCGCGTGCCTTTTAGGAAACCCTTGGATTGATTGTTACTTGGCTGTGGCTTTCTAGAAAAGAATATTTCTGCTGGAGCAGGGTGTGCGTGGCGGTCCGGTCTTGTCACCGCGCGAGTCGGCGGCTGCTGGCCTGCGTATGGCACCCGTGGAATAGGTGTTTGTATGTGCCCGTGGGTGCTAATTGAGTTAGGGCTGTCAAAGTGTCTTCTGCGTATTTGGAATGAGAAGTGGCACCTTTTGTGATCCCTTCTTGACAAGCCTGAGGAGGCCCAGTAAATAACAAAGCTCTCTTTTGGGAAGGTTTACTGTGATAATAAGGAAATAAATAAGGAAATAAAACTACATTAAGAGATCTCAGTGGTTCCAAAATACAATCGTGGAGAATTTGGGTGGGTGATAAGAAGGAGACGTGTCTCTTTAGCAGCAGGTTCTCCTTCTTGTCTGAAGAAAGATGAAAACTTTTGTGTGCAGGAGGGGAAGGCAGCACTTGCCCCTTTCCATGGCCTGCTGCAGCCCCTGCACCACGATACCCCCCTCGCCCCTGCTCTCCTCAGCACTGAATTTTGAGTGTCTCTGTGCTTTTCTGGGTGCAGGGTAGCTCCCAGCCCCCAGTCAGGAACTGTACCCACATCCAGCCCGCTGTACCCTCCTGCTCAGCTTGGCTGGTGGCATTTCCCACCCAAAATGCTTCGAGGCTCATTGCTTTTGATTTCATCTTTCTGTGTGACAGCTTTGTGGATGCTCTTTTAATTGAAGCAACGCTTGCTTTCTGCTCTGCCGTCATAATACCTTGTATTTATTTTTACTGCCTGCAACTGCATCTCAGAGGAGATATTTCTGCTTCTCCCTTTCTGGTGGGTTTGTGTGCATGTGAGAGGGCTGGGGAGGACGCGGTAGCGAAGACTGAACAGCCAGTTATAACTGATTGTACAGATAAAAAGAACCCTTGTTTACGTGAAAATTGTACTGGCTGACATAGTCTCCTCTGTTTGATACAGTAGTCTTGCTGTGTTACAAAATGGACTGAGATAAAATGTAACAGGTTGATATAATAAGCAGGTAATGTTTGCAGTATTAGCCATTGCCCTTAATTTGCTTGTTTTTTGCTGCACTGCTTGGCCTTGACTATGTTGTGAAATACACGTCACGTATTATTAAATCTGGGAATTCTGCGACATC